TTGGAGCTCAGCCGCCGGGCGCCGGCGTTGTCGCGCAGGCTCTTGGAGCAGCCGGGACCGGGGTGCCCCGCGATGTGGCCCTGAGCGCCAGAGCCCGAACCGGGCGGAGCAGGAGCGGCCGTGGGCGCCGAGTGGCCGGTGCGCCCCTCCGAGCGCGCCTGCGTGCGCGGCCAGCTCGCCCCTTGCGCTCCCCGCTGCTGCCGGGCTTCCCGGCTTCATTTTCCTCGGCGGGATTAAAGTTAGAAATTGAGCGAAGAATTGAGTTGCCCGGGAGCAGAGCCGCGGCCGCCGCCGGAGCGATGTTCCCGCAGAGCCGGCACCCGGTGAGGCGAGGCCCGGTGGGGGTGAGGGGACAGAGCGTGGGGTGGCCAGGCGCTCTTCCCTGGCGGTATGGGGACGGGTGGCTCCTTTAACCCGGCGGATCCCCTCGCCCTCAGAGGTGCAAGGCTGGGAGCTCGGGCCCTCCCCTGTGAGGTGGGCAGCGGGCTGGAACTCCATTTCCCTTCTCTTGGTCCCCTCCTGCTTGACGTCTAGACTCGGCGCACAGGGGCTCTAGGGGAGGCTGGGGTTTCTCTCCCGCAGCCACATCCTCCCCCTTCCCCGGGGCGGGTAGAGCCCCCCCTTTGTTTCTTGTCTCGGTCATTAACATGTCAATGTGGCCCCCGTTCCGGTGCGCCCGGAGGAGGTGGCCCGGGAGACTCTGGGAATGGGGAGCGTAAGGGAGTTGTTTTTCTTCTCTGGTCCCAGGGGTGATTATGGCCCTCATGGGGGAGGGGGCGGCGACGACGACTACAATCTGGCCTGGTCCTTCCCAGCCGTCTGGAGCCCCCTTCTCTCCTGCCGGATGACCCGGGCGCACTTAGCCCGATGCGCCCTGGAGGCCGGAGGAGCTTCCAAGCCTCTTTAGAAGCTGGGGGCTGGGGGAGGGTCCCCTTTCCCCTTCCCCATGGTGGAGCACAAAGTCGAGTTTGGGGCTCGGTTTTCTGCCTTTGCTAACTTTATTGTTTGTGTTCTTCTCGTTCTTTCCTTCTCTGCCTTATTGCTTTACTCGTCCGTCCGCATTCCCGTCCCTCGGTTTCCCTGGCTGGTCGCCCCCAGACGCCGCACCAGGCTGCAGGCCAGCCCTTCAAGTTCACCATCCCGGAGTCCCTAGACCGGATTAAAGAGGAATTCCAGTTCCTGCAAGCGCAGTATCACAGGTGCGTGTCTGGCCGCGCGGCCCCTTGTGCCCCTCGTCGCGCAGCCAGGTGGCGACGGCTGTACTTAGTACTTGCGTCCAGGCGGTGGCGTGTGGAGTCGCAGTGAAGACCTGTCATTCACGTTACCCCCTTTCCTGGCTCCTCCGGGACCTCCTCTTCCCTTGTCTCCTCCTCCTCCCATTGTTCCCCTTTTGCCCGTTTGCTGTTGTTCCAGGGAATCCTTTTTCGTTTATTTAGGAGTTGCATGAGAACCGTCAATATTTGTACTTCATTTATTTATTTTGCAACAGGCTGAGCTGAAACATTGGTTCAATCGATGCGTCAGTCCTGAAGTGCGGGTTCAGGGAAGCAAGCCATGTTGAAATCGCTGTTTGCCATAGTGGAGAATTGGGTTGTCCGAGGCAAAGTCCCTTAGGGAAGGCTGGATGCTTTTAGCTGTGCCCGTCATTGGGGAAGGTGAGGGAGGTGGATAGTGTGTCGGGGAAAGCTCACCTCTTTGCTGTTACTCTCGGTTGGTTTGGGTAGGACAAGGGAGTGGAATCACGTTTATATCCATCTCATCCTTAGTTTCTTCATATAATGATACTTGTCTCCAGAGGATTTGTAAATGATCGCCATTTGTAAAGTGCCCCGTCCATAATGAACTTCCCAGAAAGGCTAGTTTCCAACCCTTGCTCCTGTGAAGTTTTAGCTGATTCGAGCTAAGAAATAACTGTATTGACAATTTTTACTTTCCTCATGCTTGAGGGAAGCACCTATGTGAGGTGAAGTGGCTTGGGTGTGAATTTTTTATTTTGTCAGGGGTTTTCTGATTATTGACCTATTGTCTGCTGGTAGATAGCATCTCTAGAGCTTGAGGCATACTTGCACACACTGTTTACCGAGCAGGGAGAACTTCAGCCTACTTCATAGCGGCAGCTACTTGACATATTTTGGCAGGGATTTAAAAACCAAAGACTTTGAAAGGGATCAGCACTTGTACAAGTAACTTTACAGGTACAATATTCAAGCCTAGAGACCGAGTTAACAAAGGTGTTACAGCCTATGCCTGAGACTGAAGATTGTGTGAGGGCCAGATTCTGGTGGAGTCCAGAGGAACAAACTTTGATGCAGGGAACAGTCAACTAGGAGGAGGAATCAGAGGTTTTGACTGGCTTTTCATTCTTGGCATTTGATCAGATATGCACCAAGAATAAAAAGAATGATAGCTGAATGGATACCCTGTATCGTTCCCCTTACTCCCTTTCCATATTAAATGCAAGGACGAGGATTTTTTGGGTGTTTACCTAAATAGTTATGGCTTTTCACAATTGGTATATGTTTTTACTTGAAGTGCAGATATGTGAGGCAGATGTTAAAACGAGTGACATAATGTTTACATTAAGTTGCCTGTTTTGTTTTCATAGCCTTAAATTGGAATGTGAGAAACTGGCGAGTGAAAAAACAGAAATGCAGAGGCACTATGTGATGGTAGGTATCAAAGATTGGACTTTTTTCCTTTTTATGTAATCTGAGCAAATATGTGTTCTTATAAGTGCAAAAACGTGAGTTTAATGAAGTGCTTGACTCTTTTTCTCTTTGCAGTATTATGAAATGTCATATGGATTAAACATTGAAATGCATAAACAGGTAAGCATTAGATAAATCTCAAGCTGAAATGAGTAATCAGTTCATATGATTCTATAATACTGGCTTTGTCCTCAGAAGTGGGAGGTTGGGGTGGCGTTTGTATGCCATTTTTGAGCCTTGGTAGTATTCTGCAGCTAGGATTGCTTCTTGACAATTACAGTGTCTAAATGACTAGGAGAGAGGTGCTTTGGGTATGTAAACTAGCCTGTTTATAGGCAGATAGAAATTGAGACTGAGTTTACTTTTCCACCTGGGTAGATTTATTCTCCTTTTGAAAGTTCTGGATATCCTGTTAGAATCCTGAAGTTCAGGATAGTTAATGTTTTTGTGCTGTTTTGGAAGGAAGTGTGGACTTGTGGGGGAAAGAAGGGTATTCAGGAGTTTTTAAAATCAGGTTAAACAAGGTATATGACTAATTGGAGTACTCTTTATGCTTTGGGGCTGCATAAAGCAACCCTCAGGATTAGTGGCTTATTAGCCAACACCTTTTTAAAAATTTTTTCAATTGACATAGATTTGGAGGTGAGAAAAGCATCCTTTTATGGCCAAAGGAATATGTTTGGGGTTGCTTCAGTCCTAGCGGTTTTAAAAGCATGAAAAGATTAGTGACTGGAAAGATCTAGCTATGACTATGAGTTTGCAAGTTCCCATAAAATTCACACTTATGGCTACTATAATGGTGTATAAAAAGAGTATTGAGCTGGAACAAGGCACTAAGGACCTCATAAGAGAAGCAAAGCTAAATGATTGCTCAGCCCAAAGGACCCTCGATTGAGTAGTCATTGTCTGCCAAAGAAAGCATTAATGGCAGGGTATAAGTATTCTGGAGATATGCTGACATTCACTTTTTCATCAAGACGCTGGTACAATAAGTCTTTTAGAAATCGATTGCCTCTTAAAAAATTATCATCAGATGAAGTTGCACAGTTGGACACATTTCAAAGTGCAACAATACAATTCTTACTTGATGTATATGTGCTATTTCATCTCAAACCCTTGTTTCATTAAATTAAAGAGCATGGCTGACCGGCTGGGGCACAGTGGAGAAATTGATTAGTTCAGCCTTCAGATCTTCCTTATATTCAAAGACTTTCATTAAGCAAGTGTGTTTCAGAGTTGAATTCTGCTTTTGTAACTCTGCACTCTTTGATTTTTAATTCATCATAGATTTCATAATGTTAAGTTATCATCTTGTACATTAGATCTCTTCTCAGATATGTGTTTGGAAAGAGATAGTTAAGTTCAGGGCCTTTCATTAGTGATATAATTGGGCCTTTAAAAATGCTGATTTTATTCTGATTTTCAAAGATGGTAACTTAGTTTATGTTGGGTTTGTGCCTTTATTTTTGTGTGCTTCAGTAGCTAGTGCCTTATTGAGGTGATAACTTGTTGATAGTTATGAGCTATAGAAGATCTATGGCTAACATCTATGGTCATTTAAATGAGTTATGCAAATAAACTTGGCCTAGGAGTTTTAACCTGCACTTTTTTTTTTAAAGTTACCTTGAAGGGCACGTTTTTTTTAGTGGTGGGGGGGGAAGGGGAACTAGTACACGTACTCTGGAAGAATGAGAGTAGATGACTGAGCTTTTTTTAAGCCCCTAAAGTCAAAGGATTTAATAACTGCATTGACTCTTTTACAAGGGAACACCACCGCGATGTGATGTTGTCTGCTGAGTTTATGGGGGGGGGGCTAAAGGAGGTATGTAATTCTCTGGGTTTCTGTAGGTTACATGGTGGGGTGACCTCTTCTTTATCGTGTAGGAAGAAGGGAGAAGAGGTGAAGAGGGTCAGAGGCCCCATGGTGTGAAAATAGCTTTCTAATGAGTTTCAATACTGTGTTGGGCATTTGTGGGCATATACTGTCCATCATGGCCTGTATTCATTAATAATATGCTGTGTGTAATCGGTCGGTAGTTTGAAAAATGTGAAAAGCTGAGAGACACCATGCTTTTTATAGTAGGGTATTCAGCCCCCTGAAATTTAGTTTACATTGTAAACGCTGACAGACCCCCTTAACTAGAGTGGTGTGCGAAGTAGTGCTGTAATTCACTTTAAAGTGGCCTTGCATTTGAAAAACATCCTTCTGAATGTCACACATTAGTAGTAAGTTCTGAGGAGGCATTTGGTGCAGCCTAGTAATCATAATTCTTATTAAAACTGGTGACGTCTGGCCCCCAGGGTGTAGCCAGGCTCAAATTGATGCTTTTTGCCGCCTGATCACCAGCATGGCCTAAGTGCTCATTATATTGTAGAGAGGGCCTTTGGAGCTCTCATTAGATTTGACAGGAATTCTCTCTAGGGGGAAACTGGGCATTAGCAAGACTCCTGACAGGCTGAAATTATTCCTGCTTTATGGCTTATAACCAAATGCCAGCAAGGCATCATCAGGGGACACGAAAAATTGTCATTTCTGACAACATCTTTGTTACTGAAAAAATGCAGTGATGGGGAAACTTTCTGTGGAGAGAGCTTTTAATGCTGTTAAGGTTTGATTTGTCTCCAGTGTGATGACCGCTCTCCCTTCCCACCTTTCAACGGGTTTGTCAAAGGAGTGAGTTTTAGAGATTTCAGTGTCAAATCTCACCACTGACTTTCCCGTCTGGAAGTTTTAAAGTGGAAGTGCGTCCAAATCAAGAATGGTATAATTGTGGTTTCCGTACTTGGTGTGGTGCCCACAGTCCCTGTTTGTGTTGTGTCAACACTTCCTGATAAACCTTCCCCTTACTTTCTCTGCTCTCCTTTGTGGATGGTTTCAGAAAAGGCAGCGGAACAAGGGGTTGGTGATAGATAACTATATCTTTTATTGTAGCAGTAAGACAATTCTTTTTTTCTTTGAGCATTTTATAGATCCCTGCCTGTCCATCATCTATGTCTGTGTAGATTGTAAACCTCTATACAAGAGAGGGATGGAGACTTCTCATGAAAAGCTGAGGCAATTCCGATTCCATCAGTGTTAGGGTGCATTGAAAAATAGTTGATGTGAGTCTGGTTGTTGGGGGCTATGCCGAGTGTGTGTGGCGGTGTGATCGTTACATTTTTTTTTTTTTTCTGTTGTATGGCTTGGCATTGCCTTATTTGATATTTTTGGAAACAAGATATACTGTAAATGCATGCATAAGCCTTCTTTATCCCACTCATGTATCTTTTTGTCATTGAAGGCTTCAGTTTGTATAGTAATTAACAGTTTTCAATAGTGACTTGTCTCCTGTGACCACCACGGTCATCCTGGGAAGTAGATGGGGTCGGTGTTGCTGTGGGCACGTGCTCAGAGTCTGGAACCTGCTCAAGATCAAGCATCTATTGAAGCTTGAGATTGGATTGCCTGGTCCAAGGTTGCCAGTGCTGCCTCCCATCCCCACTGTGCTGCCATTGGGAAGACGAGGCCATTGGCAGATTCACCCTTGGTCCCATGTGTAGTGACCCACGTCTGCTTAGTAGCATGTCTCTCCAGTGCTCGCTCTTTGTGCCAATCAGCTTCATCATTTGCAAGACACGTCAGGGCCAGATGCATGTTCTGAAAGTTAGGAAAATCAGCACTGCTGACTGGTCTGTGGGGATCACAAGCCATGGGTAGGTAGAAAATTGTATCCCACTGAGCGATGCTGTTCTCAGGTTAAAATACGTTTAACAACAAAAGAAACATGTCAGGAATCCTAGTGGAGACCCAGCAATGAAGTGAGTTTGCTCAATCATGTTCTTTGCCTGTGTTCTGCTGAAGAGTGGGCAGAGTGAGCACTTGGGACTCTTCAGGGCGGTGAAGAATTTAAGAATAAATGAGTAGCTGTGGAAGGAAACATGATGTATTCTGCAGTGTGGGTTTTGGTGTGAAGAAGGGGGAAGAGCTTAACACTTCTGACCTCTATGTATTATTTCAGCAAGCACAGTGTCTCAGACCATGTACATACATTTTGGAGTGAAACTGCTTTTCACAATTTTGATGTGTGCTTTAAAATTTGTTTTAGAAAAAGTTTTTTAGTGGACTTTTTAAAGTATTTAGGTGGGAAATGTTAGGGATTCACTAACTCTGGGGGTTAGTTCCTTAGATGTGACTCTTACTGTTTGTCTGCAAGTTTTATCTTTCTATTTTTTAACCATGCGTTTTTGTCTACAGTTTCTCACTTTGAGATTTTTTTTTCTTAAGTCAGTATCTCACACTGGGGAATGAGTGTAGCTGGACTATAGGCACTTAGAGTTAAGCTCCACCAGGTGTTAATAACCTTGTAATACAAAGAGGTAGCTGTCATCAAGATTGGAGTGGTCCCCAACTTCATTTTTATTAGCCAGGCCCATCCCTCCAAACATAAGATAAAGCTGCCTGTGTATGTGGAGCCTAGATTCCAAGGTGCAAGATTAGCCTGTGTTTTTTTATTGGCAGGCAGGTCTGATTTCTTACTACTTAACAGTCACCTCCGCAACCCCTTAGGCAGGAGCTAGTGGCTGGTTTCTGTCCAGTGCCTGCAAAGACCAGTGAAGCCTTGGGCATGGAATTTAAGGGGCATCAGAAAATTTAGTAATCACAGTAAATAATATTTTAAAAATTCAAAATTAAATCCAAAAAAAGAAATGGATGTGGAACAAAATATCAAAATTTTCTATAAGGATGGGATCCAACATGGTCAGCCTGTCGGGGTACAGGTGAGGCAAAGGAGGCAGATTTGGGCCTTTGCGGGGTCGGAGTGCCTCACTCACCGCCCCCTTTCTGTCTTTTCCAGACAGAGGAGGTTGAATGTTCTGTTGGGAGCAGCCGTGATCTGTAGGATCTGCCTTGGTCTTATTTTAGTTCATTGAGGTCAGTTAGGGACTTCAGTTAGGGACTGGGCAAGTCATACACAAGTTCCATGGACCTCAGTTTCCCTCCTTGTAAAATGAAGGGGTTAGACTAGACTGAAGTTTGTCTGTTTTCCTGCACATGGCAGGAGTCCTCCCAGCACACACCCAAGCACGAGCACGGTGTGTGTGTCAATTGAGGAGAAGCTTTCACCAGAGGGCTTAAGGTG